GGCTCTCCTCCTTGGGCACATTTTGATCCAAGAGCCAGATCTGAGCAACACACCACCTCTTGAAATCACCTGCCTTATTATGTAAAAATGCCTGACGAATGATGAAAGGAGTTGAGGATCTTTTCTCTACCAACAAAGTGACTCATTGGCTTGAGTCATCCAAAATCATTTTCTCTTCCAAATACTGTTAGGTTATAGATGTGGTTATGAAACATCCTTCTCCAGCCTGCACAACATAAAAGGGACTGAGGAACAGATTCAATTATCTTTTAACCTCATCCAACTTCATGTGTCCACAATGCCAAGTTCAGATATCCTGAAATTTCTTCTGCTTTTGCTGGAAACTCTTGGCTCTGGGATTGAGCTGACATGTCTTCAATTCTGTGACAGAACCTTACATCTCACTGTAGCTCGGGCATTCCGGACAACCTCTGCTTTTTGCCATATTCCCCAGGATTCTGCCTTCAGCTCATGCTTGGACTTTGCTATCCATTATTTTGGAGAGAAGTCAGATGACAGCATAGGCAGGATAGGGACGGGCAATGGGAACAGCAAATGTCATGCTGTGGGGAGAGATGAAAACCCATCTTGAGTTCTGCTACTACATCCTTGAGCACCCAGAGTTGTTTTGTAAGTTGGGCAGCCATGTAAATCAAATAAATAAATAAAACTCAAGTGTTGATAAATGTCATTATAGAACACCTTTTGCCATTCTTCATCCTTGGCCATCCTGGCTGAGGCTGCTGAGCTGAGTCATTCAATAAAACTGGAGGGCCATCTCATCTCTCTTTCATCATTTTTTAGCTTTCCTTACGCAATGTTTTCTCTGCTTTCTTTGCAATATGCCAGCTTCCACTTTAATTCCTTTTCTTTCACTTAATTAATTATTTATTTACTATGTTTGTTAACCACTCCAATAGTGCCTACGTAAGTAAACATTGGAAGCTATTTAGCAGTTTTGCTCTGAGTTGGAATCAGCTAATTGGTTTCTGGAATGCACATTTAATAATTCAAATTGGAATCCTTGGATCTTTGCCCTGACTTGATCAATTAAGCACACTGATCTGAGAACTTTTCAAAAGGTGAGAATTGGCTTGAGGATGGACATAGGGGCAGAAGGCTGTGCAGTGCTTCAGATTTGAAGGCAAAAAGGTGCTTTGAATGGGCCAGCATGTGGAATTCCCGCCTGCAACTCCTTAAAGCAGTCTTTTTCAACCTTGGCAGCTTTAAATGCATGGACTTAAATGCCCAGAATTCCCCAACCAATTCTGGGCGTTGAAGTCCATGCATCTTAAAGTTGCCAAGGTTGAGAAACACTGCCTTAAACCAAAAATAGCTTTGCCCTGGATTGTGCTGCAAGAGATACAAAAGTCTAGCTGTGTTAAAAGACCCAGCTGCTTTAAGGAGCTGCAGAAAGTTGTTCCATCTGGGACTCTGCATGCATCAAAACCTCTTTTCATCTTTGAATCCAAAGCAATGCATAGCCCTAATATAAATGCCTTTAGTTCAGTGTTTCTCAACTTCAGCAACTTTAAGATGCGTGGACTTCAACTCCCAGAATTCCCCAGCCAGCAAAGCTGGGGAATTCTGGGT